CTGTGCAACTGCGTATTTCACCTTGGCTTTAGTTTAGGTCTACTCCAAGGTCCTTGAGCGCGTTGCCCCGGCGAATGGCCTCGTCCATATCACCCTCCACTGCAGTGAAGGCGTCTGTTCGGCCCACGATCAGGAAGTCGGGGTCCGTGCGGGCCCGCAGAGCGTAACCGATTTTCTGGAGGAATTCGTCCATCGGGATAACGTGTTCCAGCCCCGCGTGGTAGGAAGCCCGCTTGGGGAAAAACTGGTCCTCGATGTGAATTCCAGCCAGCCCCGATTTCTCGAAGGAGCGCACTGTGTGCATCGCATGAACCGGCTCACCGTATCCTGCGTCGGCGTCGCAGATTACCGGTAGCGGGACGGCCTTGACCACCCTCTCTGCTACTGACAACTGCTCGGTCATGGTCATCAGAGGCTCGGTGACCGCCAGGTGAGCGCCCGAGATGTAGCCGCCGCAGTAAACGGCCTTGAAGCCCAGTGATTGCACCAGTCGCGCTGTGATGGGATCGTAAGCACCCGGTGCGACAATCTGTTCCCCGGACTGGATTTTGGCCTTTAGGTCGCTCCTCACTGACATCGTTCCTTCCTCCAGTTCTCCTGCTATAAGGCAAAGGGTGAGAGCGCGATTTAACCGCCGTCTAGTCCTGTGGGATGAGTGGGATCACCTCTCGAGAGAACTGCTCCAAGTTTTCCTGCAGCGAGGCCACGCTGTCTCCGGCCGGGAAGCCAATGATGAAGTTGGAGACTCCCAGGTCCATGTACTGCCGCAGGTCGGCAGCGATCTGCTCGGGCCGCCCGTTCATCCAGGGACGCGATCCACCGGCGGCGTTGTTGAATCGCACGTCGGTGCTGAAGGTGAGGTCCACGGCATTTTCGTCGCGCCCAGCCTGAACAGTCAGGCGCCGCAGTCGCGCGATGAGCCCGGACAGTTCCTCCGGTTCCAGGATGGCAGGAGGCCGCAGTCCGATGGGCATCCAGCCGTCGCCGTACTTAGCGGCGCGGCGGATCGCCGGGCCGGGTGTCCGCCGATCCAGATGGGCGGATGTGGTTGCTGCACTGGCTTGGGAGAGAATCCGCTGCCCGATATCTGGTAGAAGTCGCCGTCGAAGGACGGTTCGTCCTTGGTCCACAACTCCTTGTACAACTCGATGTATTCGTCGGTGACCGCGCCGCGCTGCGCATAGGTGTCCAGGCCCATGGCCTCGAACTCCTCTTCCATCCAACCCACACCGGCACCGAGAATCACCCGTCCGCCCGAGAGCACGTCCAGCGTCGACAGCATCTTTGCGGTCAGGACCGGATTGCGGTACGGCAGAATCAATACGTGGGTCCCCAGTCTCACGCGTTGGGTGCATCCGGCCAGGAAGTTCAGGGCCGCCAGTGGCTCAAAGTATGGCTGGTCGGGAATGAAGGTCGCCACTCCATCGGAGGCATAGGGATAGAACGAACTGACCTCCCTGGGCAGAATGATATGGTCGCTGACCCATATGTGGTCATAACCCAGGTCGTCGGCCCGCTGGGCCAGGGCTCGCAGCTCGTTGGGTCCGGCCAACGGCCCGCGGGTGGGTACGGATGTGCCAAATGTAACTGCCATGATGTCCTCCGGCGTCGCGCGTTCACGCGCCTGGCAGATTCCTCAGTTGCGGCGCAAGTGTAGCAGATGGCCTGTTGATTGCGTACTAGAAAAACCCGCTGGGCGTCCGGGCGCTGCGCTGCCTGCGTACAACATAACTGCTTCCCAGGTAATCGTGTGGGCCCCGCTTTCGTGAATCGAATGCCACCCAGATGTACAGCAGGCCCAGAGGGAACAGCGCCACCAGTATCACCCCTCTGAGAAGTTCTCGGATTGCCGCATTGTGCCAAGGCGGGATGTTGCCCTGTGCATCGACCACTTGGATCTTGAGCAACATTTTGCCCAGGGTCTGGCCCTTCCATATGGTCATAATGAGCCCGTGGGCGGCGGATATACCGCAGAAGAGTATCAGGAAACTATAGTTGAAGTTTTCGATGGTTATCGAGACGTCTTGCAGCGTCGCTGGCTCTATGTCCCCAGAGGTCATTGAGATTCCAATTATGGCGGCAATCAAGGCGGCCGCCAGGTATCCGATGACCCAGTCAGCCACGAAAGCGGCGAGTCTTAACAGGAACCCTGCGTATTCAGCCCTGACGTAAGGTGCAGCCAGGGCGACTCCGCAATTGGCACAGAAGTCAGTGAATGGGACTACTGGCGTTCCGCATGCCCCACATCGCAGGCCACCTTGAACTTCGCCGGTCTCCGAGTTCGCAGGCCGGTCTGCGCAGTCGAGGCAGAGGCGCTCCGCGGACCGGAAGTGAAGGTCGCACAGCGGCGCTACCCCGCAGCGGCTGCACGTGTAGCCCCGAGCCCACGGAACTGTGACGCCGCAGTTGCGACAGTAAGGGATATAGTCCGGCGGAGACTCCTCCGCATACTGACCAGACGTCTCCTGCGCGCCACTATCCGGGTCGACCGGAGCGCCGCAAGTTACGCAGGCTCGTTGTCCCGATTCGACGGGTGCTCCGCAGTTCCCGCAAAAAGATGGTCCCGAATAAAGGCCCGAATCGCTGGCCATAGGGGCCGCAATCTCCTGTCAGAAAAATTCCACCAATAAAGCATACCCCGCTCGATGATGCCGCTCAAGTTTGTCCATTTGCTGGCTCAGGGCAATCGCGTCTTGGCTGAGTGGGTTTGCCGCAGTCCGGCATTGCCCTGAAAATAGGATGTTTTGATTGCAGTGCCGGGCCACAGGGTAAAAACCGTGCATTTTTGTAACTGTCCGGGGGTTCGGGGTGTTTGAGGCGGGGCGGGCGATGGGAAGGGTCGAGTCGGTTGCCAATGGCTCCACTCGGTCAGGCGGCCTCCGTGTCGGATTTGAGGTTTCGTTTTTTTCGTTGGTAAGGGGTGCCATGAGGCTTGGGAAGACCTGCTGACAGGAGGTTTCGTCTAAACCGGAATTCATCCATGAGATTGGGGGATGGACAGGACTGGGGACGGTCCTTGAGTTGGGCCAAGGTCCTGGCGGACGCGGTGGATTCCCGATGCCGCTTGAATGACGGAAAAGGCAGGGAATTATAGAAGACCTTTAGGCGGCGTAAGAGAAAGAAACCAGTATATTTTCATGGCAATGACTGTTTAGGGGTTTACACCATCTGACGACGCGATACCCTTGGTTGCTGACTTTAGTCGGAATGTACCCGGATTTACATTGATCTACCGGTCAGGGTAATCTGTCCAAGCATTCATGCCGTCGTTTTGGATTCATCGCTTACAATGAATGGAGTGGGTCGGGTAATAGTGGGGTCTGGCAATACGCGAATTGGGCGTTCGTATACTCCGGGGGAGAGCCTTTCACTCAAGAGGTTTTTGAAATCGATTAACTTGCTAAGTACCCCCTTCAGCAGAGCAATTGTGCTGCCGCTTCTTGTTTCTCTCCTGGCGATTGCAGGCATTGGATGTGATGCCACTGAAGAGCTAATTTCGCCGTCCACGCCCACGCGGGATTCCCCAATAGCCCCAGCCACGGTCACGCCTCCCCCGGCCGTGACCGAGATCTCATCTGACGCAACTCCGTCGCCCTTCGCCAACACCCCAACAGCCGTTGGACTGGTCCTGCCGATATCCATAGCCCCGGTTGCCTCAAACCTTCCCGAGTATGATCGCAGTTCGTGGCGTCACTGGACGGACGAAGACAGCGACTGCCAGAACGCCCGGCAGGAGGTCTTGATCGCCGAATCAACCGTGGCCGTTACCTACCAGACGGACGAGCGGTGCCGTGTGGCGACCGGGGAATGGGTGGGACCATACTCCGGGGATCCGGTAGACCACCCCGGAGACCTGGATGTGGACCACATGGTGCCGCTGGGAAACGCTCACCGTTCGGGAGCCTCGAGCTGGGACAAAGAGCGCAAGCGAGAGTTCGCCAACTACCTGGGATACGAGAATCACCTGATCGCGACTACTAGCTCCGCAAACCGGTCCAAGGGAGCCAACGGCCCGGAGGAATGGCGCCCGCCACTGAAAGACTACTGGTGCGTCTATGCCATTGACTGGGTAAGCATCAAGAACCAGTGGGGACTGACAGTAACAGAAGCGGAATATGTCGCCCTTTCCGAGATGCTGGCCACTTGTGAAACAACGGTGCTCCTCCAGCCCAGCAAGGGCACGCCACCGCCGCCGTCCACTCCGACGGTCCCGCCATCCATACCGAGGGACCTGCGCTACGACCCTTTTGGCCCTGACCGCGATTGTGGAGAGTTCGACACCTACTCTGAGGCGCTCGCCTTTTTCCTGGCCGCCGGAGGCCCGGAAGCCGATCCCCACAGGCTGGACTTGAACGATGATGGTCGGCCCTGCGAGACCCTTCCGGGCGGACCTTCGGCCAGCGAGACATCATCACCCCCAGAACAGGCTGCAACAATGTTGAACGGGAGCAATCCAACCATGGCCCCCGATGAGACCGGCTGCTCGGAGACAGGTGAGTCCCAGGCCATCGGCAATATCGGGACTGTGTCACAGTTGAGCAGCCGAACCGCGTCCGACTGCATACCTGCGCCGCCACCCGCTTCACCCATTCAGCAGCGAGTTCCCGATTCTCTCGTTTCTACTCCAACACCCGCATCCACACTTTTGCTCACACCGCCTGTCGCGACCCCGGCTGGACCCACTCCGGAACCCACTGTCAGCCCACACCAACCCGAACCCCAGGTAAATTGCAGCGATTTCTCCGATTGGCCGTCGGCACAGGTTTTTTTCGAGTCCCAGGGTGGCCCTTCAACCGACCCATACAATCTGGACAGTAACCGGGACGGCGTGGCCTGCTCGTCTCTGACCGGGGCGCCCTGAAGGCGAGGCAAGCGTGCCTCCGCCAACCGCATTCCCCACATCCGCGCCACTCGTTACCACTCAGCCCACGCCGGTCTCGCAAGACTTTGCGGACCTTCCCTTCGATCCGAACGGACCCGACCGAAATTGCAGTGACTTTTCATCCTGGTGGGATGCCCAAAACTTCTTCCTGGCCTCAGGTGGTCCAGCCATTGACCGTCACCGTCTCGACAGCAACGGCGATGGTACGGCATGCGAATCTCTCCTTGGCGCCCCCAAGGATGACCCGGAACCGATTACCCTCGAACCGGAATCATTGCCGGAGAGAGCCGGAGTTTGTAGACCGCAACTGCTCTGACTTCGCGACTTGGCGAGAGGCCCAGGACTTCTTTTCTCTGAGGGTGGTCCGGGGTCAGACCCTCACCGCCTGGATCGGGACAAAGACAAAATAGTTTGCGAAGGACTTCCAGGTGCGCCAAAGGAGTGAATCCGCAGGGCAATCGCGTCTTCAGGCCTGGAATCTCATTTACTGTGATTCGTCCCTTGCCAAGCCTGCGCCTCTAACATATGTTCTATGTATATAACGGCTAGCAAACAGAACCCGCCTGACATCCCGGGGGCCTGCTTTGAACCAGCGGCCAGCCCGGAATTGCCGGAATGACAGAATAATGGCGGAGCGGAAATGAGTGGAATCATAAAAAAAGAGCCCCTGTAAACCGGCAATGCCAGCTCCTCCGCCCCAACCTGCTTCGATGCTGAAATCAAGACGCGATTGCCCTGAGTGAATCCGCTGTTGTATGGCAAGTTGAGGGTGTGCTAGGCTGAAATCGGGAATAGATGTAATGATGAACCAACATTTGTCGGCAGACAGGGTCGTTGTAGCAATGAGCGGAGGGGTCGATTCCTCTGTTGCCGCCCTGCTGTTGCGTCGTGCAGGTTGGGACGTCATCGGCTGTACGCTCAAGCTGTACAACTTGGACGAGTCCGAACTGCCCGCAGACCATCAGGGCTGCTGCACGCTGGATGATGTCGTAGATGCCCGTTCGGTGTGCCGCCTTCTGGATATACCTCACTATGTGCTCAACATGGAGAGCGAGTTCCACGAACAGGTCATGGATTATTTTGTATCTGAGTACGTCGCGGCCGCACTCCCCATCCCTGTATCGCCTGCAACGACAAGATTAAGTTCAGCCAGCTGATGGATCGCGCAGACGCCCTTGGAGCACGGTACGTGGCAACTGGCCATTACGCCCGCGTCGAGCACAATACCGGAATATCTGTCCTAAAGAAGGGCGTAGACTATGGGAAGGACCAGTCCTACGTCCTGTTCGGTATGACACAGGGGCAGCTGGCCCGGACACTCCTGCCCGTAGGTGGCTACCGCAAAGAGGAAATCCGCCAGATGGCCCTGGACGCCGGTCTCATCACCGCCGACAAGCCCGAAAGCCAGGATATCTGCTTCATTCCGTTGGGAGACTATCGAGAGTTCCTGCGGCAGCGAACCTCAGGCATACCCGGCGAAATCGTTGATCTCGATGGGACGATGCTTGGGACCCATCAGGGCATCGAATTCTTTACTGTCGGCCAGCGCCGGGGGCTGGGACTTCCTAAGACCTCAGTGGAGCCTCTCTACGTCGTACACTTAGAGGCTGACTCCAACCGCGTGGTGGTCGGTCCTGAGAGCGCTCTTTACGACGGCGAGGCATGGATCTCGGGCGTGAACTATGTCAATGGAAGGGCTCCCGGCGATGGCACACCCGTTTCGGTAAAGATCCGGTACAAGGCATACGAGGCCGCTGCGACGCTCCATCTCCGGCCCGACGGCGCGCTGGTACGGTTCCAGGAGCCGCAGCGTTCCGTCACTCCCGGGCAGGCCGCCGTGTTCTACCAGGGCGACACCCTGATCGGCGGCGGCACCATCGAACCTGCGGAAGGCAAGCCAGTCGCTTGTCGAAAGGGTGAATCCCTTTCTTCGGCATCAACTGGATAGTCTGCCGAAGAGCAGGTACTGGCGAAAAACGAGCGTGCGACGGCATTTGGATCAGTTCGACTTGACGCCCGAAATTGTCATTGCCAACTTGGTATTTCCTAAGGACACCGTGTCGCAGGAGGATGTCCATGGGCGGTGCCAAGAATTCTGTCGCCATATTCCCCCTCGTGCAGATGAGGCGGCACCAATGAAAGACGCGCGAAGGGGCGCGCGGTTTCGTGTGGCTATTGATCAAAAGGGGGATTTATAAATCGCATTCCGTGACCATTACACCGAACTGCAGGCAAGATGTGAACATTGCCCGACACCGGAAACGACAAGATATTGCTATTCCCGCCGACCTCGAATGCGAAATTGAGCACTATGAGGAATCGGATACAATCTGAGTGGGAATGGTAAGCGCGCCCCGGGCGGAATGGATCTGTTTCCCGGTTGTGTAGTCTTCTTTGACGGAGATGGCAGAACCGTTACAGGTGTAACGTTGTGAGGAGCAAAACTCTTGCTTCATCCATGCCTATTTGGGGACGGGGCTGCAAGGAACGACAGCGGACATTTGACTATGCCTGATCTATCCTATGAACGAGACCTGCTCCGGCGGGGATTCAGTCCCGTGGCAGGGGCCGACGAGGCGAAAGTCGCGGCCGCTGGCCGAACCTGGTTGTGCTGCTGCGGTCATTCTGGCTGGCCCCCGGCATCCACTGGTGCGCGAATGGTTGCATCTGTTGGACGACTCTAAGCGCCTTTCGAAGTCCCGCCGTGAGACGGCGTTCCAGGCCGTTCAGGAACGGGCCCTTGCCTGGGCATTCGCATCGTGCCCCCGGACGAGATCGACCGCATAGGCATCGGTGTTGCCGCGCTGCGGGCCATGCTCGAGGCAGTCGACGGCCTCAGGGTTCGGCCCGCCCACCTCTCGCTTGACTAGATTCGGTCCTGTCAGTGCCATACCCCTACGAACCTGGCAAGTGACAGAACAGCCGCAGCTACAGCATTGCCGCCGCCTCAAACGTCGCCAAGGTTGTGCGCGACCGGATGATGGGCGAATACGACGCGGCCTTCCCCGGCTACGGATTTGCCCAGCATAAGGGCTACGCCACCCGGCAACACCTCCAGCGATTGCGGGAATTTGGCCCCTGCGATATCCATCGGCGTTCCTTCGCGCCCGTGGCACAGGCGCACCTTCCGCTACCGGAACAGTCCGTAAGTTGAGCACCCCAGCCAGAAAACTGGGACAGTGGGGCGAGGGGCAGGCGCGATTGCATCTGGAGTCCAAGGGCTACCGGATCGTTGCCACCAACTTCCGAACCCGCGCTGGCGAGATCGACATCGTTGCCCAGCAGGACGACGAGTTGGTGTTCGTGGAGGTGAAGACCAGGAGGGGAGAGTCATTTGGCCGAGCTGACGAATCCATCACCCACGCCAGGGCCGAGCGCTTGGCGGAGGTTGCCGAGGAATTCATGCAGTCGCGATCAGACGGCCAATATCACTCCGGTACTGCGTGGCGCATCGACCTGGTCTGCCTGAACCTTGACTGGAGAGGCAAGCTCTTGTCCGTCAACCACATTGAGCACGCTGTCAAGCTGTGAATTCCCTGTCCTGGAAACTCGGGCCCGAGGCTGCGTAATAACCAGATCCCCGGTGCGTGCTAAAACGTCAGTGTCAGACGGCTTAACATCCCGCAGGACACGAACAGCAGGCCAACCACAAGTGCCAGAATGAGACAGCCGGCGCGTTGGTTCAAGGCGTCGTTTGCTCCGGGCCGTAATTTGGCGGTTGATTTGGGCGGCAAGGTAGCCCGCGCCGAACCCGTTGTCGATGTTGACCACTGCCACTCCCGGCGCACAGCTGTTGAGCATCGCAAGCAGCGCCGCCAATCCCTCGAAGCTTGCCCCGTAGCCGGTGCTGGTGGGCACGGCGATGATTGGAACCGATACCAGCCCAGCGAGCACCGCCGGCAGCGCGGCGTCCATCCCTGCGACCACTATGATTACCCTTGCTGCGCGGATCTCCGGCAGTTGGTCCAGCAGTCGATGCAGGCCCGCTAGCTCCCACGTCTCGATCGCCTGGCTCCTGCCCATAGCCTCACGTCGCTCGCTTCCTTCCTCTCTCTTCCCCTGCCCCCGTGCGTTCGTCCGTCCCGGCTGTCACATCATCGTCCCGGCCTTTCCGCGCGGTTGCTCTGCGAGGAACGACTATAGCGCGCAGTTCGTGAAACTCCGCCTCGGGTACCAACTCTCGCACTGAGTCGTATGTATCCCGTCCGGTCTTGGTCACCAGGACAGGATGGCCCCGTCCGCAGAGCGCCGACAGGATTCCCGCTACCTGATCCGGCGTTTTGCCCTTTCCCAGTACGACCTCCGGCGATCCGGTGCGAAGCGGACGGTGGTGGTCTATCCGAGCGTAGCCCAGGTCCTGGAACGGCAGATCACGTAGTTTTGACAACGCCTCGTCCGTGGAGATTCGTCCGTCTCGCACCTGCTCAAGCAGATGGGGGATATCCGCGCTCCTGTCGACGCTCCCGGCCATACCTTCAGCCATGGAGTTGCGCCGGCGGTTTCGGAGACCCGCTGGTAAACTTCCTGGAACGACAGACCGGTTTCGATTGCGATGCGGCGGCAGTCGTCGGGCTCAGGCGCCCCGCTGACCGCTGCCCCCTCCAGCCACTTCACCTTGACGCTGACCGGGCCGAACTCGGTTTCGATTTCGACGCTGTGGCGTTCGGCCACGTAGCGGTCAACCAGCCTGGAGCGGATGCCCAGAGTTGGCGTTTCCTGCAATATCAGCTGCACCGCTGCCTGCTCCATGTGCGGAGGGACCAGCACCGACAGAACCGCGCCTGGGCGGTTCTTCTTCATCTGCACCGGCGTGTGCCACACGTCGAGGGCTCCCATCGCGAACAGCTGCTCCTGCGCGTAACCCAGCACCAGGCCAGGCGCGTCGTCCAGGTTGGTCTCCAGCAGAACCACGCTGGCCGGTTGGATGATGTCTGGTTTCCCCTCGTACGGTGGTGGTACTTCGTCCGTCTCCCCCAGCCACACCCGCAGGGCGTTTGGGAATCCCGCAGGGTCTTTGGTCCCCAAGCCAACACCAACCCGCTGGACTGAGAGGGCCGGACGCAGGAACTCAGCCAATGAGGTTATCAGCGCCGCTCCAGTGGGCGTGGTCAGTTCTCCTGCTCCGGAATGGACCGCGCTGTCGGCAACCACGGGCGCACCCGATCCGGCGATCAGCTCCAGGGTTGCAGGTGCAGGGTTGGAATATCCGCCCGGACGTCGAGGCGGCGATGCCTCGCCCAGTACCAGAGGTGCGGCATATAGCCCGTCGACTTGTAACTCCTGGAGTGCGATGCAAAACCCCACCACGTCAACCAGCGTGTCAACACTGCCGAGTTCCTCAAGCTCGAGATCCTCTTCCGGTGCGCCGTGGACCCGTGCCTCCGCCCGCCACAGGGATCGCAAGACCCCCGCGGCCCGTTCCTTCACTGAGGAATCCAGCGATGAGTCCTTCACGGCCCCCAGTAGTGCGGCCGGGGAATGGCGAGTGGGCTCCTCGAGACGGACTTTCAGGTGGGTGCCACGCACCTCGCACCGAGTCTCTTGGGCTGCATCAACACGGTACCCACCCACCGGCATCTTACCCAATTCGCTGCGCAGCAACTCCAGCGACAGCCCCGCGTCGACCATTGCGCCGAGCAGCATGTCGCCGCTGGCCCCGCCGATGGACTGGATGTAGGCAATCTTCATTGGAATTCACGACGGGAGAGCACCGGGAGTGCAGCAACTTTATGGAACAAGAGGCGGGTTGAATTCAGGACAGTTTCCAAGGATTATTTCTTCAACACTTCGTTGAGGCTGCCGGACCGCAGGCCAGTCAGGTCCAACGACACCCACACATACCCTATATCTTTCAGCCCGGCAACGATTTCCTCCCGGCGGGAGAAGGCGGTCTCCATGTCGGCCTCGCACGCTTCCACCCGGCACAGCTTGTCGTGGTGGCGCGCTCGGAACTCCCGAAGGCCAATACTCCGCAGGAAGTCCTCGGCCCGCTCTATTTTAGATAGCGTTTCCACTGTAACCGGCGTTCCGTATGGCACCCTTGAAGACAGGCAGGGCTGAGCGGGCTTGTCCCACACGGGGATGTCCAGCTGCCTCGCAATAGCTCGTACCGCTGCCTTGTCCAGGCCTGCCTCCAGGAGCGGACTGCGGGCGCGGTGTTCCGACGCAGCCTTCATGCCTGGCCGGTAGTCGCCCTCGTCGTCGGTGTTGGCGCCGTTGGCCACCCAAGCGTAATTCTCAGCTTTGGACAGCGCGGAGAGATGGGTGTACAACTCGGTCTTGCAGAAATAGCACCGTAGCGGAGAATTCGCCGTATAGCCCTCCCGGCCCATCTCATTCGTGCGAATAACGCGATGGGCAAAGCCGAATTGCCGGGAAAGTGCTTCGGCTATCTTGAGCTCCCGGGAGGCCAACGCTGGAGACACAGCAGTGACCGCCAACGCGTTTACGCCCAGCGTTTCGTGGGCAGCTACGGCAACCAGCGCGCTGTCCACCCCGCCGGAGAAGGCGGTCACCACCGAGCCCATCTCCCGAAGAATGCCCCTCAGTGCATCAAGCCTGTGTGTGTCAACGTTGTCTCTGCTCATTTAAACATCATTCTTTCTGGTTGCCGTAAACCGAATCGTCAACCGTTTCTTCCGAGAAAGCTGGAATCCCGGGGGCAGTGCCTGGGTCAACCTTGCATCGGCAGTGGAGTCGAGTTTACAAACTTGAGGCGCGGTGATCAGTCCCCTTGTTTGAGGAACGCAGCGACCGCGTCGGCAAAGGCGTCTGGCTGCTCCAACATCAGGAGATGACCGGCGTTGGCAATCGTTTCGGTTCGCGACCCTGCTATCAGTCCTTGGAAATCAGTGGCGTACGACGGAGGGTTGATGCGGTCATGGTCACCCCAGAGGATCAGAGTGGGTGACTTGATGCGGTAGGCGCGGCGGTGGAGTCCCTTGTCGGGAAGGGGCCAGAGAAACTTCCCGGCGCGGCGATGTCCTGCATCCGGTCGCGAGCCAGAACATTGGTAAGGCCGTCGAGGGACGAAGCGCCCGCTGGGGTTGCCGCAAGCCGGTCAGCCAACTCGTCGGCATTCAACGACAGGAGATCCGCCACCGGCTCTTCGTCCCGCCACACTCCGGCAGGCGACACCAGTGCCAGCCGGTTGACTGATGCCGGGGAAAATGCGGCCATCTCTGCTGCTATCATCCCGCCCAGGAAATGTCCGACGACGTGAGCCCTGTCGATGCCCAGAGCGTCCAGCAACGCGAGGTGATACAGCGTAAGGTCGGTCAGGTCGGCTAGGTGCTCCAGACCGGTGGCCTCGCCGTAGCCGGGCACATACGGTGCATAGACGGTGAACTGCTGGGAGAGCCGCTCCAGGAACGGCGCCCATCCCTTCTGTCCCACTGCGCCGTGAAGGTAAAGCAGCGGCGGCCCGCTGCCAGCCGTGTGCACCACGGCACTGAAGTCGCCGCCGCGCATTTCCAGGTTAATGGTTTCAGGCATTGTCGCTCCGGGGAGGGTTGCAATCGCGTCTAGTTTTATTCGGCTTTTAGGTTACATCGCGACAGGCAATTTATCAAAGTTGGGCATCTCGCTAGATCCCAAGTTCTTTCGTCCAGTAGCCGGCCTTGTCGTTTCTTGAAGACGCCGCCCCACTGTTTGAAATAGAAAGGAACTGCAGCGGCGACGCACTGGTCGCGAATGTCCCGCGCCCAATCCGCTTCCATTGGCCTGGCTCCCGGCCCGGATTCTCCGCCAACTATAACCCAGTCAATGCCGTCGAGATTCAGCTTAGGCAACGGGCCGAGCAAAGGCTCCAGAGACAAGAATTTAGTCTCCGCGCCGGTCTCGCGCAGCAGGTCAATTCGGTGGAGGTAGCGCTCGGACTCGACGCTCACACCCAGCAAGACTTGAGACGGCCAAGACAACTTGTCATTCAGTACGACCACCCGCTCTGGCCGCTTGGTCAACACTTGATAGCGATGCCAGTAGGCTTGTTCCATCACCTCGAAAACGTCGCGTACGAACTGGTCTGGGACTTGGTAGTGAAAAAGGTCGCTCATCGAATTGACGAAAATAGTTCTCGGTTTGCGCCAGTGCAAAGGTATTTCCAATGTATCAGGGTGGCAGGTCACCTCGAAGCGGTTGCGGTACTTGACCATCCCGGTAGCCTTGAGCCGTTTGGACAGCCGCTCGGCGTAGCACAGCTTGCAACCCGGACTGACCTAATTGCAGCCAGTCACCGGGTTCCAGGTCGCGTCAGTCCACTCGATTTTGCTGCCACCGGCCATCAAGTTGCCAGTTCGTTCAAAAGATGATTGGCGATTCTCAGGGCAGTTGGTCCGCCCTTCTCATTTGCAGCGGCAAACATTAACGCGAATAACGGCGATTTCCGGGAGTTAAGAAACCACTTGGGAGCGGGAGCCACTGCTGGAAATGCTCTACGCAATTTGTCCAAGTATAAACCTACAATAGCTTGTTGCTCTGCACGAATTATCTGCGTTATATCATCTCCGAACATGGTTTGCTGTACTTCTGCTCTGTAAAGGGAGTTTTGCCACTCTTGTCCACCAAATACCCGATTCAGATTGGCTATATTTGCTTCGTCAGGTTCCCTCTCTTTCGGCATCATCCGAGTTAATGCCGACAAGGGGAATAGGATCCATAGATCTACTGATCCGGTTTCTGAGATTCGCTGGACAGTTTCCCAATCCACTTGGGTAGCAAAAGGGTCGAGGAAAATGACAGCCCTTTCTCCGCGCCAAGGTGTCCCTAATTGCCTACTTTTCCTAATACACCAATCTGGAAGGAATTTGTTTGCGTCATCTGAAACAACATGGATGTTTCGGTCTTTGAATTCATACTTTAGCTTAGATAACTCCACTGCATAATCAAATTAAGGTTCCACAAAAAGCAATTCATCGAACGGTTTGTCATTAACTTCAATTGCCCGTCGGGCGGACCCCTTCAAAACATTCGCCGCTTCACTGTCCCATCCATCTTCAGAAGTCAGCAACTTACCCTGTGCTATGTTCCCTGTGTCAAAATTTACGTATCCCGTGCCTGGCAAAAAAAAACTTCTGGCAATCGTCCCATACGTACCAAAGATGAAAAGACTGATTCTTCAGTGCAGTAGTGTAGGCTTTCAGATACTCCTCGATGATTCGCAGCTTTTGCCCGGTCCAATCACTATTGCCGAACTCATTTACCAATTTGAGATCTCCTGCCAGCTGCGATGCCTAGATAGTGGAATGCTACGCGACCGCCAAAGGCATAGCAACCAGCTACTGTCAGCAAATCACAACCCCGCGTACCACTCCGCGAATATCTCCCTCGCGATTTGTGTTCGGCGAGTCCTCCTGGATGAAGTGGACGCCAGGGACGGTCACCTCACGCTGGTTGGGGAAGCTGCGGCAGAACTCGCGTTGAGGCCCGGTGAGGATGGCTCCCGGCTCCGCGTTGACGAATAGCTTGGGCGTTTGGGTCTGCGACAGCCATTCTGCATAGTCGGCCACAATTGCCACCACGTCGGCCGTTCTTTCCACCGTCGATGGTAATCCTCTCGCGTTCCCCGATATCGTTGGACCGACTCGTACTTCCCCAGGCTCGGCGTAGCGCCGCCGGTAGACCTCCATCGCCTCGTCACTGACACCCCTGATGGTGCTGCCCGGCAGAACCCGCTCGACGAAGATGTTACGCTCCAGTACCATCGTCTCGCCTGCGTCCGAGCAGAATCCTTGGAACACCTGCCGCGCTGCCTCCGGCCACTCTTCCCACGTAACAGGGCGCACGATGGCCTCCATGTAGACCAGCCCCCGCACACGCTCCGGATGGCGGTGCGCCCAGTGGAACCCCAAGGCCGAGCCCCAGTCATGCACCACACCAGGGTAACTATACCGTCCGGCAGCACGGCGTCAAACCACCCATCCAGGTACTTGCTGTGGTCCGCGAAGCGGTACGAACCGTTGGGTGTCCCGTCCGATTCCCCCATTCCCATCAGGTCTGGAGCCAGGCACCGAACCTCCGGCGACACGTGGGGAATGATATTACGCCAAAGGTAGGATGAGGTCGGGTTTCCGTGCAGGAACACCACGGCGCCATCCGGAATGCCGCCGGTGTCGACATACGTCATTTCCACGCCGCCAGCGTCAACGCGGAGGCGTGGATGTGGGTCGTGGGCCGAGATATCGCTGGTGGTCAAAGAATCAGTCCTTGGCGTTTGAGATTCTCAATCAAAGGGCGTCCCGATAAAAGAGGGACGCCCTCAATTTTGCGTTCCCTGTTGCGACCGGTAAGGGCGACTAGGCAGTTACCGGCATGATGGCGTTGGGGTTGGAAACGCCCTCCGGCCACCAGCGTGTCTCGTACTCCGACGAGATGTCGCGGACGTAGGGCATAACCTCCCGGGCGAAGAGTTCGGTGTTCTTCATGGCCAGTTCCTTGGGCATGTCGCCGAACTGGAGCAGCAGCATCAGGTTGCCCACACGCAGTTCCTTGATGGCGTGGGCCAGGTGCTCCCGCACCGTCTCCGGCCCGCCGACGATGACGTTGCCCGCCTCCAGGTAGTCAGTCCAGGTGAATTCCTTGAGCTGGTCCTCGCGCGACTGCGAGGTGGAGTTCGCCACCTGCGAGTTGTTGCTGCGCACAGACCGGTATCCAGGCGGGTTGCCGAAGCCGGAGTGGATGTGCAGACACTTCTTGAAGAAGTACTCGATGGACTCCTTGTATTCTTCGGCTTGAGCGTCGGTCTCCGACACCGCCACCAGTTGCAGGAACCCGGCGTGATAGGGGTTGAACTCCTTTCCCTGCCGCTCCAGCTCATTCCAGAACCGTCCAGCACCGTCTTGCCTATCTTGTAGCCGCCGTAGGACAGGTAGCAATAAACGTAGTCGTTTCGGATGGTCCAGTCCCACGTCTCCAGGCTGCCGCTACCGGCACCAGATGTCGTGGCCGTGGCTGGTGTAGGGCCGGGGCAGATGTGTGACGTATAATCGCTGCGGTTGTACTGGCGTTGAAGGAGAATGGTCGCGCTCGGTCCAGCCTTGTACCACAGATCGTGGGCTCCTGATACTTTTCCCGCAGGGTGATGGGTACCTGTCCGTAGCCGAAGATAGTGTCCATAGCCGTGCCCAAAGGGAATCCGGCGATGAGCCGTCCGCCGCTTAGGACGTCCAGCATGGCGAACTCTTCGGCCACCCTGATGGGCGGGTTGTACAGTGCCAGGCTATGCCCAGTACG